CAGAGCTCGGACGTGAACTGAGAGCCCCTGTCTGAGGAAATGTCTGACGGGGTGCCAAAACGACACACCCACATTGCAATGAAGGCCCGGGCAACGTCTGCGGCTGATGTCGAAACGAGCGGAACCGCCTCCGGCCAACGGGTCGTTCTGTCCACCATGGTGAGGAGGTAAGAAAACCCCTGAGAGGAAGGCAACGGACCAACCAGGTCAATGTTGACGTGATCAAGGCACCAGGCACTCCTCTCAGGCACCAGGAAACGCTCCAACGGGGCCTTCGTGTGGCGGTGCACCTTAGCGCGTTGACAAGCCACGCACTCCCTGGCCCAAGTCCTCACGTCCCTTTTCAGTCCTTGCCAAACGAACTTCGCCGCTACCAAACGCACCGAAGGTTTAACGCCGGGGTGTGACAGGCCGTGCACAGCCTCGAACACAGGACGCCTCCAGCTGGCAGGGACGACGGGCCGCGCCAGGCCTGTAGAGACGTCACACAGGAGAGTAATGCCCGCGTCGCCGAACACCACGTCCTCCAAGCGCAGGCACCGATGACGACCCTGGAGAGGCAATCAGCAACCAGGTTCGACTTGCCAGCCACGTGCTTAATGTCCGTAGTGAACTCCGATATGTAGGACAGTTGCCGCTGCTGACGTGCCGACCAAGGCTCCGCCACTTTTGACATGGCGAAGGTGAGCGGCTTGTGGTCGACAAACGCCGTAAATTCACGGCCTTCCAGCATGAAACGGAAGTGCCGCACGGCCAAATAAAGTCAGAGTAGCTCCCGGTCAAAGGCGCTGTATTTGCGTTCTCTAGGCGTTAGCTGGCGGCTGAAAAAGGCGAGCGGCTGCCAAGCGCCCTCCACCCACTGCTCGTGCACTGCGCCGACCGCGTAGTCTGACGCGTCCGTGGTGATGGAGATGGGAGCCGTAGATGATGGGTGTGCCAGCAAAGCCGCCTGAGCCAACGCGGTCTTGACCTCAGCAAAAGCGCCGTCCGCCTCTGCTGTCCAGTCGATCTCCTGGACGGGGGTCTTGCCTTTCAACGCTTCATACAGCGGCCACATGATGTGTGCGGCCCGGGCGATGAAACGGTGGTAGAAAGTCACCATCCCCAGAAACTCACGGAGCGACCGGGCTGTGAGCGGGCGAGGAAACGCCGCAACAGCCTCCACCTTCGCTGGCAGAGGTGTCGCACCGCCCTTGGTGACGCGGTGCCCCAGGAAATCGATGTCCGACACCCCGAACTGGCACTTTGCAGGATTGATGATTAATCCGTGTTCGTTGAGCCGTGTGAAAAGGGCTCGGAGGTGGGACAGGTGCTCCTGCACTGAAGCGCTGGCGACGAGTATGTCGTCGAGGTAAACAAACACAAACGGCAGGTCCCGCAGCACCGAATCCATCAGACGCTGGAACGTCTGAGCGGCATTCTTGAGTCCAAAAGGCATCCGCAGGAACTCAAAAAGTCCAAAAGGCATTATCACTGCTGTCTTGGGAATGTCCAGGGGGTGCATGGGCACCTGGTGGTATCCACGCACCAGGTCCACCTTGGAAAACACCCCCGTACCGGCCAGATGCGCCGAAAAGTCCTGAATGTGCGGCACCGGATAGCGGTCAGGCGTAGTGGCGTAGTTGAGTCGGCGGTAATCCCCGCACGGGCGGAACCCGCCGTTCGATTTGGGAACGACGTGCAGGGGGGAAGCCCAAGGACTGTCGGAGCGGCGGACAATGCCCAGGCGCTCCATGGTTGCGAACTCCGCCCTCGCTACAGCCAGCTTAGAAGGGTTCAACCGCCGGGCCCTGGCGTAGACAGGAGGCCCCCCGGTAGTGACGTGGTGTTCTACGCTATGCTTAGTGGTAAGCGCAGAGAAGGTGGGTAGCGACAGGTCTGGAAACTCGGCCAACAGTCTGAGAAACGTGTCTGCACCTGACAGCGAGCCTGACAGCCCGTCGACGGTACGCTGCGCTGCCAAGTGTGCACACGAGGGAAGAAAACGTTAAGGCATCAACCAAACGCCTATTCTTAACGTCCACTAATGGCGCGTTTCCACTGCAGCGGGGTAGCCCCGTTTAAGCGTCCCTAAGCGTCCTCGCTCTGGCCTCGGGCTGCCTCGCTGGCCGGCCCAGGCCGTGGCGCATTTCCATTACAGTTTAGGACCTGGGGTAGCAACGCAGTGTAGGCGGGGCGATCGGCTTTGTTTTTGTTCACATTTCGAGTTGTTCCGTCGAGCTCCCGCTGGATTTGATCATCCCCAATGAGATGTAGGAATGTCGTCACCTCCTCGGCCGACCACGGTGTGCTTTTCTTATTAGACGTAGCCATTTTTGTAGCTCATCCGTTTACAAAATGCTGTGTATAAAAATGCTGCAAGCTTGCTTCTAGATATATATGCGACGCTAGGGATGAACTCGCGCGCAATCTTGTGACGATTCTCTCTGACCAATCAGCAGTCGAGAGTGTTGACGTCACTAGTTCAGCCCTGGCCCTGGTCTGAGGGAACCACGATTTTATGAGGCCGGAAAAAGTACCCGCTGGCCGGTACTAGGCTATATGGAAACGCCACCAAAAACCGGTCTGGCCGCTTGAGGACGGTTAAGGACGCTTAAACGGGGCTACCCGCTGCAGTGGAAACGCGCCATTAGAGTCCATGAGCACACAAAAAATCCGCTCCGAGGAGGGGAAAAGAAATGTCCGCTGTCACAAAATCCCAGCTGAAACGCTGTCCTCCGATGCACAAACACATAGGCCTCACGCCGTACGTGCGAATGGGACTGCCGTTAGCCGTCGTCAATCGCGGTCCGTGCCCCCCACGGGCGACGTATTCACTCGACGCTGGAACTACGCTTCGTTGAGCGCCCGTGTCACACAGAAACAAGCTCCCCGAAACGCTGTCGCTGACGAAGAGGAGCCTGCACGTGCCGCCGACGCTCAGAGCCACTACTGAGCGCCGGCCCCTCCGTTTCCCGGGGGTTTGTAGCTGCACGGAGCGATGCATCTCTTCGCCCTTGTCCCGAAACGTGCGTGGTAAACGCACTCTCCGGCGTCTCCACGCCGGCTAGCCACAGCCGTGTCCGGCCTCCGCCACACTTTCTTGACTGCCGGATGGCCGCTGAGCGTCGCGGCTAACGTCTCTGCCCCGGGCTGTTGCGTAGCCAGGAAAAAACGATCCGCTTCCTCAGCCAAAGCACGGGGCTCCGTGACAGGCGTGTTGGCCAGCGCCGTCTGTACCCGGGGAGGCAAGTGACATAGGAAAATCTCCGTGAATAAAATCCGGGGATCTCCCCCCCCTAGCAGATTTAGCATTTTCTCCATTAGCTGGGATGGCTTGCTGTCTCCTAGGACTTGAATGTCAAGTATCTGGCGGGCCCTCTCCTTAGCAGATAAGCTAAATGTCTTAAGGAGAAGGGCCTTAATCGCCTCATATTTGCCATGATGTGGGGGGGCTGCGATGAATCCCACCAACCTGGACGACGTGGAGCTCCCCAGCGCTGCTACCACATGGTAGTATTTTAGGTCCCCGTCACGGACCTGTCGGCAGGCGAAATGTGCCTCCACGTGTGCGAACCATGCCTCCCCGGCGTGCTCCCAGAATTCCGGCAGCTTTATGAAAACATCGCGCTCAGCCATGTTCGTTAATTTTCCGGAAACTTTCTCGGAAAAGTCAGGGTCACCAGTGTAGTGCCGTGAAAAGAGAGTCGGAGGCGGTGTATTAAGAATGGAGTTCCAATCTTTATTATCCATTACTTTCAGAGAGGTTAACACATGCACTGCTCTGCCTGATGAGCTAGCAGGAATGGCAGCTAAAGCTACAGGTGTTCCCCACTAAAGGGTCCGTGTGGCAACACAATAAGCAAGGTGAATTATGTCCAATAACGTGTCACCACAACGGTCCTTTAAATGTTTGCTACAACTACACTAGTAGGCCTACATATAATAAGGAAAAAGCCGGGTCATTAGCACTCTTTTCAGCATATGCTATACATTTTCAGAAAAACAAGAATAAGAATAATCAATTTATTTGCAAATACTAGTACAGTTTCTGATTTCATCATCTGAAGACCCATTCAAACTAAACTCATCTCAATAAAATAAAGTTTCTATGAATCCATCAAGTCAACTCCAAAAAGGTTGTCAAGTAATTATATAAAGTCCCGTTTAGTCTAATTGTTTGTGATTTAGGGCAGTTGGTTGTAGCTTAAGCACTATACGTGACCAGGTGCTTGGTTTCCTTGGAAAGAGAAGTAGCCTTTTTGCATTTCATACTGATTCTTCTACTCAGATTTTAACCCTTGGATGCACGAGTGACTGGACCTATACACTCTTCCATAAGTGGGTCAAAAAGGACCCGTATTAGAATAATTTGTGTTTTTATGCCATTTTTGTCATTTGTATAATATTTAGTATTATATTTTGGTTCACACTAGAAATATTTTATATTTAATTTTTCACTATTTATAATTTTAGACGTTTTTTTAACATTTAAAAAAAAACGTTTTCCCATAGAAAATGCATGTGGGTCATTTTTTACCCACTTATGGAAGCTTGGGGTATTAATACAAAAACTACAATTTCTTAAAATTAAAATTTGAAATTTGAATTGCATGATATCCAAAACATGTTTTTTGAGGAATAGCTGGAATATGAAATGATTAAAAAATGTAATTACAAAGATACTTCAAGAAAACCACCTCACCAGGTCAAAAAAGACCCACTTATGCATCTAAGGGCAGGGAAATATTTTAAAGTCATTGTAGAGTTTGCAGAGTCTGTTACATAGCCTACTAGTGGTGGTGTATATCAACAAATTAAATGCCATGCCTTGTTCTAGGCTTTTTTTGTTGTTGAAGAGAGTAAATGAGGATTCAATTCCTCCTAATAAACTGTTTGGAGCTAATGTGCAACGTTAAACAACTAAAATGTAAAATTGTGAAGGAAGTGTTAACATTTTCTTGTTATCGATTCTGCTGTTTGTCCACTAAGTGGCGCTGACGACCCAGTCATTGTGGTCACGTGACTTACACAAACTGCGAACCTCGTGTTTCTGCTTCCTATTTACTAAATGGTTAAAACCGGTTATACTCAGTAACTTTTGTATAGATAAACAGATGATTTAATTGTTTTTTAAAGGCCAAAATGGCCCAAAGGCACCGGGCGCTGCCGACATGGATGTCGAAGAAGGAAGAGAAAGTGAAAGAGAAGGAGCCTCTGAAGAGCAAGAGAAAACGGAAAACTGCAAGGTAAATGACGTAAAATAATCTACATAACAACAACAACAGGCTTCAGTTTAATGCTTCAGATAAAGTTTCCTCATTTAATTTTGACTAACAAAGATGAACTGGTGTGTTTCCAGGGCTGTTTTCTACTGTATGAACGAACAGGAGCTGGTGGAGGCAGCTGTCTCATATTTTACCAATGGAGCCTGCGACGACGGTGCTCTCCCCACTGACCAAAAGGTGGCGCTGTTTCTCCATTTGTAACGCTTTAAATGGGGGGATGCCATAAAGTTTATGGCATAAACTGACCGGTATACTATATGTATCAATGTTAATGAAAAATGTGAAGACCCAGTAATTGATATAGGCCTACTGTGATATAAAAATGAAAAAATATAAATATTGTTCAGGATGTTGACATTGTGTAGAACATCCAATTAGTGAAAATCAAATATATTTTGATTTTAGTAGGCAAAACACAATTTGTCTGGCTAGAAATGGTATACAGCCCAAGTTAGTCTGTGTCTCAAATAAATTACATGTAAAAAAGTTGAGTAAAGGACCCACAGTAAAATCATATCTTACACCGTTTGTTATAGTGGATGTGAAATGTAAGATATATATATAAAGCATTGTGTAATTATGAGTGATAAACCCTGTCACACACAGGTGGAAGACAAGGAAGTAGACACCACAGTGAAAATGAGGAAGAGCCCTGCCATCTTAAAGACGACGGTGAAGCCTGTGATTATAGAGGAGTCCTCAGACAGCGGGGACGCCCTGGACTCAACGTATGTTTCAGAAACTGACATGGACATCACAGAGGTGGAAACATTGCCGTACACAAAGGGCGAGCAGCATCAGGGAGCTGAGGGTCAGAGGTCAGGACCAGTACAGGATCACAGCATTCATGTGAATGTTGAACTGGATGCTGAAGAAAAAGAGGAGCACTCACAGGTGCTGGCAGAAGTAGCGGAGGAGGAGGAGGAGGAGGATGAAGATGATGATGATGCCCTACGTCTTGTGCGAGACATTTTTTTCACCTGATGATGAACTGTATCAGAAAACCACAGAAATGTGCACACTAAAATATTGTCTTATAGGGGAATGCCTGCCACATTACAGATTCACTAGACAGTCCAAGCAGAACTTGTAGATGCACACATCAGGTCGTCCATAAAACTACACAATGGAGAACGTGTCCTTTAACTGGTGCCACTGGGATGTTGAGCTAGGGCTCAGCTTCTTAAACTGTGGATGAAAAACATTTCTATGTAAAAAGTTGTACTGCTGCTACAAATCTTACATTACTGTATTGTCTGAATTAACCATCTGCAGGAGCACTGATATAATAGCCATTACATGGAAATTGCAATCCCTCAAAAAAGCATGGAATTTCAAACTTTTACTTGAACTACATTCATGAATAAGAACATTTAAGTGAAAACTTTAACCAGAGCCGGAACTTTAACCAGAGCCGGAACATTTGATGTTGAGATAAGTAAAAGAGCAGATTCTTTGGTATTGTAAGTGAAACTGTAATCAGCTGTGGTCATGTCACAGTATGGCCACAGAGCGTTAGTGGTTAGAGGACCTTTGCTTTCTGACGTTTCCATGAACAAACCACTAAATATTTTAAATTGAGTTCTGACGATCTTACTTAGCACTACACTACCTGGGGCCCTTTGCACAAACAGAAACATACTGTATCTTTGTCAGTGAATACGCTCCAGATTTCCTCTAAATGACACCACAAATGAAATTCATGACGCTCATACTTAAATAGGATTTGATATGTTCTTGATTTTGCAGGGTTTTTTTCACTTAATTAAAAGACAAAGTAGCAGTTTGTTTTCTTTCTTCAAGCCCTGTCAAAAACTATGTGTCAGTGCTGAGTCTTTTAGTTTAGTATTTTTTTTACACAGTTTATTTCACATGCCTATCCAACACTTGTGTTTATCAGATACATTAGGTCATATTTATATTTAGACACTCAGTTTTAACTTTCACAAACCTGTTTGTCTAGAATACAAAGGCATTGCTTCAGTACATTGAGGCAGGTACACTTTGCTCCTGTATATTTAACAAAGGAAGTGTAACAGGTGTTATGAAATCTATCAAAAATAAATAAACAATTCTACAATAGAAATAGAAATAAACCAGCATTAGAGAGTAAGAAAATGATTCAAATGACCAAGTATATATTCTATTAACATAGCCAGAATTACTTTTCAAGCTCCCAGTCAGACGATAGCCTCTTTCGTGTCACGTAGGTCAGCACAGTTATTATAACCAGCTGAACCTGCACAGCAACACATACATAGAACCAGATGGTCAAGTGTTCCCAGCTCACATATGATTGAAATTGAACCAAAAAAACAATAAGGCCAGTCAGGATGAGTAGACTGGATGCAGCCTGGCAGGCCATGCTAAACCACCAGAGTACTGTTATGTCTTTGCCGTAAATTGCCAACAGCATGGCCAGCAGAGCAAAGGCCACAAGCACCACAGGAATGTACAAACCCAGGTAAACCACCATGTCAAGGAGGCACATTTTCATACCAGATTCCCCTCTGCTTAGAGCATTCCAGTGCCAATCGTTGCAGGACAGTTCACCATGTGGACGTGCAAGACAAAAGTGAAAGGGGCTGATGAGGGTTTCATTGGAGAGGATGAACACACCAGCATATTGCACCAGAGAGGTTAACATCTGCATGAAGATGAGCAGGAGAAACACTGACATCCCGAAACAGAGCCATGTGGATCTCCTCACAGAAAGAGCAGTCATAACTGAAGCCGTCTTATATCCCCTCACCTGAAGATTTAATATGCATGTTGACAGAAATTAGTGCAAACACTTAATCAATTGGAAAAATGATAATAAGTGTGGTGCCTTTTAGATACATAGTTTCAAATTATGTCTGCATGAACTTTATCCATTATGTTCTGAGTGATCTTCAAGAGTCTGCATTGAATAGGTCTTCTCAGAATAACACACTTAAGTATGTCATAGATTTAATATTTACCCACAGTGTCAGCTGACGAACTTCCATGTTATGACCACATTACATTAAAGTGAAATGGACTGTTGTCATCGCTATAATCAATAACTTTCATGAATTTAAAAGGATCCATTTAAAAGCTCTAGTAGTGATAGTTTTGAAACATGATCTAATAAAGAGATTTTACAAACATTATCAAGCGGTGGTCATATTGAAACTGATACTACACATTTTGAAACGTAATGTCTCACTAGTCAAAACTGAAACACGACTGCATATAACATTTGATTAATTAAATGCCAATAAGTAGTATAATGTTGCGAAGATTACTTTTGAAGTCAATCTGTCTCGGGAAGTTTGGAGGCTTGTGGTTGGTTTACGGCACGCGCATCGTGGACGCGCACTGTGAGTCTACTTCTCTTGTACGCGCTTCGACGGACAGTTTGACGTGCGGACTTCTCCAAGTTGGTTGTGCGAGATCCTCTGCAACTTTATCCAATTCTTCTGAAACGCAAAAAGCTTCAAACGGTGGGTCAATATTTCTTACTTGATGTTATAACCAGAGCTGTTTTTATTTCTGTACATTTTAGGATTAGGTATATTTTTTGCTTGTTCAGCACGAGAGGGAGGCGGGGTCGCCTGCAAGGGTTTCTTTGTTCGTTTAGCTTTCACCAAAAATCAGTGGCAATTAGCGCATGGTTGTTGTTTGTGTTTGAAATGACAATAATCGAGTGACTTGTCATGTCATGTAAATTTATTAAACATTAAAACATTTTGAACTGCATGTGCGGATTAATGATCTGATGGGTTGCACAACTGGATCAAGGTGTGGTGATTTTACAATGTAATTAGTAAAAGCAAACGAAGAGAAATCATAAAATCGTATTTACATGAAACGGGGCCGTTAGGGGTTATCATTTGCAAACGTTTTGAAGGCACGTCTAAACGTGTCCAGATTTGTTTTAATTAATGGAGTAAATACCTGAAAAGTAGCAAAGCAGGCATGCGAGAAATGATAATTCTAGTAAACTAATGCTTAAATCCACTAACCACAACATTAACATTCCCTATATATACACGCTCAAATCCCTATACATGTTATGGTACATGCTGTACATGCGGCTCGGGAAGGGGATGAGAACACAATGTACCATAACCCACACACAGGGATATTTCTTTGCTCAACCAGTTTAGTGGATCCTGACAGAAAAAAACAAGTGTCTCTGATTACTTTTTGTGTTTTTGGTTAACTTGCTCAACTGTGTATTCATGAATTTGAACGGAAAGCTCAAACTTAAATGCAATTCTAGCACCAGGGACATTGCGTAATATTGAGCTGAAGAAAAGTTTGACTTGCACAACAGAATTTGACATTTTAATATTTCAAGTAATTTAAGTCTCATTTTTAACTCTGTACAGGTTAATCATGGGAACCCGGTTTAGCAGAACGCGAGAAGCCAACAGTGCCGAGGCTGCTGCTCCTGAGCAGAAGACTGCAGCAGAGCCAGCAGCAGAGCCAGCAGCAGCAGCAGACAGCGGGATAACACAGGTTCAGGAGGCCATTAAGACGGAGGTTCTGGAGGTGGTGAAGGAGGAGCCAGTGGCACCAGTGCCATATGCCACTCAAGAATGTTTGATTGACACTAAAATAGTAGATATTCCTTTTGCAACCCCACATCCAGCTGTACCTGAGCCTTTGGTCTCAGTCAGCGAACCAGAACCTGTTGCCGAGCCAAAACCTGTTGTTGAAGTTCAGCTTGCTCCAGAACCAGCTCCAGAGCCTGTTCCCGAACCAGAGGCACTCCCTGAACCAGAGGCACTCCCTGAACCAGAGGCACTCCCTGAACCAGAGGCACTCCCTGAACCAGAGGCACTCCTTGAACCTATGCCAGTTCCAGAACCAGAGGCACTTCCTGAACCAGAAGCATTCCCTGAACCCATCCCAGAGTCAGTACCAGCCCCAGCTGAGGTTCTGGAGCAGAAGATAGACCTGTTTAGCCAAGGGTCTCTCCCTGAGCCAGTGTTTTCTTCACTTCCGTTGATTGGCCTGGGTGTCCCTGATGTAACTCCTGAGCCTATTGACATTCCTCCCATCACCGCCACCATCGATGCAGATGAGGCTTCAGACATCCTGGTGACCGAGATATGCCAAATCAGAGTTGTGGAGTCTGTGGAAGAGCTGATGGAGGTGGAGGCTGCAGATAATTTGGAGCAGCTTGCGAGTGATTTCAACGAAGAAAGTGTTTCTGGACTGCTGAAGAACTTAGAGCTGAACGGAAATGACCTTGTCGCTGACCTCATTCCCAACGATGTCAACATCCCTGGTGACATGACAACCTCCACTGAGCTGATGTGAAAGCATAAAACAAAAAATGCGTTAAACAAGTGAATGGATACTTTTCTGTGAAACCATCTTAACCCCTTACATGAATTCTGAAAGAATCACAGATGCAATGTTTTTTTCTAACCTAAGTGGCTACATTTAGGCAAACAGCTATTTCTCTTTATGAACCATATGTGCCAAAACACAAAACGGTATACTCGTGGGGCTTTAACAGCACAGGTTTTTTTTTGAGTGTATTTACGTATATTGCTGGACAACAGAGATGTTTCTCTGCAAATTCACCAAGCAAGATCCAATGATCTATTAATGTCCGGTATGTACATTTTTTAAGGGGAACTATTAGCATAAATACAATACAACATTCCTAACTATGTTTTCATTAGTATATAATCACATTGAACTAAGAATGATTGTATTTTTGTTTGCTTAAGATCAGCCCTTCATATCTAGGGAGCAGGTCCTCTTCGCAGAGTCCGCCATGTTGCACCGGCATATTTCTACAGTCGCTCAGAAAGGACAAAACAAATCTGGCTCTAGAGGGCCTTCCATGATTTCATTACCTGAAGGCAGGTGTAGTTCTCCAACACCTGAAAAAGGGAAGGGGGTGTGAAGGGGTATCGAGTTGTTTGCAGTCCCTCGCCACTAAATCTCACAAACTGGACATTTTTAAGAGAAAAACAAGCCATTGCTATATATCACACTACAGGAAGAGTACAAAGGGAAAGGGAAAAAGCTTGAGATGGATTTGTGGGTCTACAGCACGCCTTGGGTGAATGCAAAACGACAGGCAAGGGACACTAGCAATGCAACCAAAGATGGACACAGTATATGAATACCGCTATACAGCAGGAAACAAATGTCAAATACACTTTTTTGCATTAAAGTAGTCATGTTTGAACTTTGTAATTTTCTACTTCTTGTATTTTCTGCAATACAATGATGGAATACTTTAACCCAAGTAGTGTCTTGATTGTAAAAATAAATACAAATATTATTCAACATATGTTTTCGTCTTGGTCCCTGGTTTTTATTTGTATTTGTTTCCACTTGTAACCGAAGAAATGTTTATGTTGAAGGTTTAGACAATGGAAAGTAGGACACTTTTGTAGATCAGGATAAATATTTACCAGTTGTGAGCCCACAAAAGCTACAGTAGGATCCTCCCAGTGTTTGAATGTGGAATATGTACGAAGCGCAGAGCAAGGATCTGTTCGATGCACACACTGAAACAATTGGACCTTTCTCCATTATAGAGCATGTTTTGTAACACACAAGTACATGTGTAGGACACAGTGTACATATGGAAATTGAATTCCAGCCAACACAGCACACATGTAAGAGACACTGCCTCTCTTCACAATCTCTCAGGAGAGAGGACGAGGGGGGAGGGACAAGAATGGGGGGTGAGACGAAGCCACATTCTTTCCAGAGGAAAGAGGTTTTTCGGGGGGTCTGGGTCAAAAGTCGTCAGTGTGACTGCGTTTCAGTCCATGAGAAATC